GGAAACAGGTTAGGATTCTGTTCAAATGGTAGGTGCATGAACCTATCAGTCTCATATACTTTTATCTTCTGTTCTGGTTCAATTTTCCTGATTAAATTCTGGGATATAGTATTCAACTCCAGATTTGTCCCTATGATTAAGTTAGCTACTTTCTCAGTTTTTGGCTCACTATATATTTTCAATACTTTTGCTATATGGGCAAGTGATTCTGGCTTTCCACTTAGAGTAGTAATCGAAATTATTCTCTTAAAATATTAAGAAAGTGGAACCAGCAGTTAGCGTAATGGCTATGTCGCTGGATTCCCATGTAGTCGACCACCATTCGAGTCCCGGACCTGGTGGCTTAAACTCACACCGGACGCATGTGCGTGCGTGCCCAAGATCCCGAGAGGAGAATGGAGGAGAAGGGATTGCGGCGTGGCCATCCCCCCTCGGGGGTGATTTCTCGCTTTCTGTCTCTCTGTGTCTCTGTCTTTCCGGCGAGCGCACACAACTTATAGCAAAAACCTCTCCAAAAAAAAAAAAAAAAAGAAAAGAAAAGTAAGCTGGTTGGAAAAGACACTCGGTGTAGAAGATAAAACTGCCTGTGATAGGGAAGGGAGAGGGCTTACTCCGTGAGGGACGGATCCGGGGAAGGATTTGGGGAAGGGGTCATCGGATCATTGAGGGCCCTACCCTGTCCCTACCTCAACAAGATCTTGACTAGGAAAGAGGGAAGCAGTAAGCTCAGGGGCTAAGGGCTGCATCTCCAATCCGGGGAGGACCCAGATTTACTCTTGCAACCCCTCCCCCCACACACACACACACATAGTCCCAGAGCTAAACCACCAATGTCAGTGCTATCCAGGGAATAACTAGGGGGCTTTGAAAAGCAGGGACAGATATGAGACACCAAAATGATGGAAAACGCCAGGGAGCCTGGGCCAAAGAGGGAGGCGGGTCTGGGCTGGGCTCCTGGATGCACTGCGTCTGCTTGGAGCCCACTCGGTGTCTCCAGTGGAGTAACAGTAGTACGGCTCTCCCAGGGCTGTAAGCTCCTCGAAGTGCTTCATCCAATGCTGGGCTCACAGCGAGCCTTTGCTCAATTGGACCTGCTATTAGGATTATTATGATTTCCGTCACCGTCATTATCCTTAGAGTCACAGATGGAATAACAGGGAGGAAGGAGCTGAGGACAGACGGGGATTGTGTTTACATGGTGAGAAGTGTTGGATGTAACAAGTTGGGGTGCGGGTGTTGGGGTGGAGAGAGAGACTGACTGAGAGACATTGAGAAAGGCAGATGGAAACCAGCCCCTCCTAACTGGGCGATGAATCCCAGTGATACAGGATGGTGCCAAGTGGGAGGGCCCGGGCCCCTGGCAGTGGAGAAGCAGCCACACTTGCTGAGCAGGGGTGAGCCCCGGGGAGGCTGCCGAGCTCTGCGTTCCGAGCTGAGACTGGGGGAGAGGGCCACGTGCTGACTGGTGGCTCCTGACCTGGTGCTCACCCCTCCTTCCTTGCCAGTGCTGGCCTGGTCCCTCAGGGAAGCTGCGGGTGGGTGGGGTGAGCTGGGTAGTCCCACCCTTTGCGGGAGGCCGTGAGCTCACACTGGTGGCCCCCAGGGCCGGGTAAACAGGATGGGTGCCTGGGTCAGCTGCTCCCTCCCTTGGTCTGTCCCTCCCACTTGTTCCCTGGGGGTGGTGGCCCGCCCAGCTCTCCTGATCCGCACCCAGCCTTCTTGGTCAAGAGCAGCCATAACGCTAAGTGAGACACCCTGTGACCACTCTCAGGGTCACGGCCACTGCCTTTCCAGACACCTGGGGTCCCCAGCGAGGGCTTTCCCCAGCACCTCAGCATCTTAGATGCAGCTGGAAAGTGCAGTAGAGTGTGAGGGCAGTCACCTTCAGGTGACAGCGTGGGAGGGGAGAGGGGAGCTGCAAAGGCCGCTGACACAGAGAGGCCAAGCAAGGGCACCTGCTTCTCATTCTGGTGTCCCCTATCCTGGCTGACTGTCACACAGGGTAGGTCCAGGTCCTGGCTTTTCTATCCTTGTTCCCCTGGTGGGCTCCTGCCTCGTGTCCTATCTCTTAAGTCCCCTCCACCCCATTACCTCCAGAAGACACCAACGACCTATCTCCTCAGATGCCCCACCTCCACCCTGCGCCCCAAATTCCTAGGGTTGGGAAACTGGAACGCTTTTGCATCTGTCTCATCCCAGTGCCCCCTCCCTGATGCATGGGCTCCCTCTCTGTTTCGACAGACTCTCAGGTTCACAATTACAGCTCATTACCCTATCGGCTGGGCCTTGAGTCACTGGGGGGAGGGATTCTGAGCTGCCCAGCCCTGTCTCTTTCTGCCAACCTACAGTATAAGGAGTAGTGACAGGGAGGAGGACTCTGGGAGGGCAAGGGAGTCTGGGAAAGGAGACAGAAGGCTGCAGACCTTCGGGGAGGGCAGAAGGAGAAGGGAGAAGGAGGAGGGGCACGCGGAGGGCACGCAGACTCGGAGAAGAAAGTGAGCACGAGAAGTGAACTTGGGAGGGAAGAAGGCGCTCAGGAGAGGGAGAGGGAGAGGGAGCTAGGCCAAGATGGAGTTACGGGGGACCCTGGCCTGCTTCCTGCTGGCCTTGTGCTTCAGCAGTGGGAGGGCTGGCCCCCTGCCGGGTGAAGGGGAGAGTGCTGCAACGGGCTTGGGGGAGGCCTTTGGACACAGGATGGGAAGTGCTGCAGCGGGCTTGGGGGAGGCCTTTGGACACAGGATGGGAAATGCCCTGAGCCAAGGAGCTGGGCAGGCTGTTGGTCAAGGAGCTGGAGAGGCCGCCAGCTCTGGAGTCAGGGAGGCCGTGGACTCTGCTGGGAATAGTTTGAGCCACAGGGTTGAGGAAGCAGCCCATGCCCTTGGGAATGAAGCTGGAAGACATGCCGAGAATATTGTTCGACAAGGAATGGATGCTGCCCACAGCTTCGGGCAGGGGATGCCTGGCAGCAACGGTGCTTGGGTAAGTGGCTGGGGAGGTGCGGAATGGGAGGCTGTGGGCAGCTGGGCCGAGGAAAGGATGGATGGGTGTCTTATCGGTGGCTGTCTGGGACAGTTTCCTCCCCTGTAATGCACCCCTCCTCTACTGCCTTGGGGGCTTGCCCACAGTCTGTGCCTGCCCTG